AGGCATTAAATGACTCCGCAACATTAGTGGTGTGAGTATCCCATCGTTTTAAACGGGAATTTGCTTAAAGCCCACCACAATCTACATCTCCTTGAGTGTCAACCCAATCAGCAATTGTGGACAAAATGATCTAAGTTTCCCCATTGCAGCAACATATTCATCCTCAATCCTTGCATAGGCGATTCCATCCAGCATTTTCAATGCAACGTCCTTTGAAGTACCTGAAACTCGTCCCTGCCTCGGTTAATTTTTAAATAATGTGCACTAAAATTTTCTTTCACATGCCTATAACAAAAAGCATGTCTCTCGCCACCAAATATTGTTCGCACAGCACCTATAATGGCATTATTCCGATCTGAAACTATCGTTGTCTCCACTGATCTTGTGATGTCTTTGACTTTGGAGAAACCAAGCCCAATCATCATATGTCTCCCCACTAACTATAGCATATGCTAATGGAAATAGTTCATTGTCTGCATCATATGCATTAGCTGAAATCAATGTCCCCTGTAAGGACCACTTAGATGACAGCCGTCTATATAAAGTATATGTCGACACCCTTCTAAAAATCCATTAATTGAGCATCCATAAGCAATGAACACCCTCTGAAATCTGTTACTATCCAACCCTTCCCATCGAGCACTTGTGTTTGGATCAGTTTCAATGAGCCTTTCACAAATCCAGGGAATCGCCATGTATGAATCCTGTGCACGACCATGTATTTCCCTCAATGCTCTTTCTCTACCCCTGTATGCTTGACTATAATTCAGTCGCACCCCATATTCTCTATACAGATCTCTTCTAATTTCATTAGCATTCTTGTCTATATTACACCTCAAAGAATCTATCATGATTGATGATGTTAAGTTTGACCCTCTAGAGTGAGATACAACCAAGCTGTCCTGTGCATAATGCACATGCTCACTTCTTAAGGTTTCTAATTATTAACAACTCAGAATCTTGTCTTTGTCCCATTGAGTATGCACCCATATACCACGGGCATCCCTCCGCCATACACTTCACAATGATCTTTTGTTGATTGTTCTTCACAAACTTGTATGAAAACTTCACAGCAATACTGTACCTATACAGTGCTTGCCTAAGAGCCACTGCATTAGGAAAAATCTGTCCTTCTCCGATAACCAAACCCTTCCACTTTGTTGAATTCATTTCCGGAATTGGGGTTGGCATCATTTCTGAACCACATGGCAACAATAGTGGGTCTTCACTAACCACATTAGGTGGAGACATGGACAATGTATCTGAACCTCCGAACAAGTCTTCCATCCTACATAACAGAACAGGTCAAGGGGTCGTTAATGACAACCTTCGATCACTATAATAACAACTTATGCACAACAGTTGACAATAGCTAATATTACTTCGAAATTTAAATAACACAACTTACACATGTTGCTCTTCTATTACAACATCCCTTGTTAGTTGTGAATTTTGATCTCCATTTTCTCCTATATATACATGACCACTGTCGCCATTGAAGTTAATCAAATGTTCTACTCCTTCATCATCTACAAGGTCCACAAATGTACACTCATCAAAGGTTTGTGAATTTCATAACCATTCCATTACTTTCTTTTCCCACAATTGATGCCACCATTGTTCTAAATTCTCCATATGATGTCCCTTCCTTTATCATTCTTGTTCTCACACCACCTCCAACATACTGCGTTTCACCTTCTACACCATTAATAAATTGTCCTCCTATATGGAGGTAGCAAAACAATTGCTTTGCACTGGAAGTTGCCATCCTGGATATCAACCTGCCACAATCACTTGTTAATAACAAGTCATACAGTTATGTTAACAACCTTCGATGTACCCATTAACAACACATTTAACCATCGCATTTGAGGGGTTACAATAATAATATCTGTCATTTTCCACTCATTTCCATCAGCAACACAGCATCATTGCCCGAAAAACAGAGCATCATTCACCGAAAAACAGAGCATTGCTTTCTAACCATAGCCACACATAGTAAAAACCACACCTAACATGATTAAAACCACATATGACTAAAATGAGCCTCCCTTGATATTTCTAGAGAGCTGAATCACATGCTTAATACCAACGTATAAACACCCAATCAACTTTTCAGACCAGCATTAAAGCTGCGACTGGTTGTTAATAACAAGTCATACAGTTATGTTAACAACCTTCGATGTACCCATTAACAACACATTTAACCATCGCATTTGAGGGGTTACAATAATAAATATCTGTTATTTTCCACTCATCTTCATCAGCAACACAGCATCAGTGACCGAAAAACAGAGCCTCATTCACCGAAAAACAGAGCATTGCTTTCTAACCCTAGCCACACATAGTAAAACCACACCTAACATGATTAAAACCACATATGACTAAAATGAGCCTCCCTTAATATTTCTAGTGAGTTGAATCACATCTTTAATACCCACATATCAACACACAATCAACTTTTCAGACCAACATTAAACTTGACACTGGTTGTGTACAGAAGAAGAGAAATGTTGTTAATGATGAGACGTACCAAGAAGATGAAGAAATAATGTCGCTTGCCTGCGATGGAGTACCAGCGCATAACTCCCTTCTTTCTTTCAGAAGCTTCTCTTCCTTGTGCATGCATAACAAACAACCGCACTAAATGAAGCCAATCAGCGTCTCTCCCTCTTTTCTTTCCTTTATCAATGACTGAGGGCAAGTACGTAATATCACAACTCAAATTATTTACCCAGAGGTCCCTGGGGACTTATGAGGAATTGGGGATTTCATGGGACCTTCTGGTAGTAAATTGTCTTCTGTGGGACTCTACAGTAATTTTCCCTTTTTTTATTGTTTTCTTATGCTGTGTTGTCTAATTTTGCTTCTTTCTCTAATTGAAATGTAAAAGTTAGTCTACAGAACCACTTATTTATAGGCATCAATTTGCAATCAAACCATTTTAAATTTAATATTTTAATTGTAACACTGGTTAATATCAAAAATTCTCCCCTATGGCCCCCTCCCCCAAAAAAAAATTAATTCTAACAGAATTTAGAAATAAATTTATTTTCTATTGTCATGCTTCATTATTTTATTTTTACTTCTACCTTCAAGTACATGACCACCTATTCGGTTGGCATCGTTTTTCAATTATCCGACTTAAATTTTTAAAAAAAATTTGAATGAAAAATTTTAACATTTTAGTAATAACAATGTTAATATCAAAACTTCTTCCTACCATTGCCCTCCCCCAAAAAAAACTTACAGAGCTTAAAAATCAAATTCAGAAATTACTACCATGGTGTTATAGTTCTTTGCCACTTGGCATTTTCAAAAAAATTACTTACTCTATTTTATCAATATTTCATCATTAAAAAAAATTTACTTTGCTTTCCCATGTTCTATTGTCTATTTACTTATGCCCTCAATTGAATTTTAAGATAATTTACATGATCATTTGTGTTCGGTTGGCATCAATTTTTAATTAGCCCGCTTACACCTTCAATATTTTAGCAGTAATGTAGTAATTGGAGGAGGAAAATAAAAAAAAATTCGGACAAATATGATTGAAGCTTATAAAGAAATCTTTCAAAAATTTGAAGCTTTTATTTTAATGTCGGAGGAGTAACATTTGAACATTCTTTGGCTTTACACATATTAATATGTTTTTAACTCTGAGGACTGGTATTTAAAACACTCTTTTGGCTTTACCATTACCATATATTTTCGACAATTTATAATTCACTGTAAATCATTTCACAAGTCATGTGCCCGGCTTTTACTAGTTATTTGTAACCTGCAATTTCTTTCATCTTTTGCCGTTTGTTGCGCTCAAAGTTGACCTTTCATGCACTTCCAACTCTCTCTCCCCCCCCCCAACCCAAAAAAAAAACCAATATACACTTCCAACTATTACCTCCTATCCTTAATACAGAATCTTGTTTAATTTTTATTTTATTCTAAATATAAGACTCCAATCCATTTTGTTTATAATATTTATGTATTTTTTTTCAAGATAGTTCTTATAACAATGGTAGTTCTGACCAATAGACTTGATTGGCAAGAATATTTTAGAAAAGACAACACATATTCATGACAAATAACTAACTTAACTTCTTTTCTTAATTTTTTTCAAATTAATCAACTAACTCTTATAATTAAAACCAGAAGTAGTATTATTTAGAGAACTTTTTTCGTACACTGCAAGAGCCCGATATTAAACCTCTCATTATTCACAGAAACCAAAAAAAAAAAAATTGTTATTTCGAGAGTTCCCATTCCAAAAAAAAAAGTCCCATTATTCAATTTAGCCATATAGGATAGTATATTTAGATAAAGAGCTCAGAGCTCTTAATTTTTCGTAAATTAAACTATACACCAACTTGTATAAAACTAACAGATTATTTTTATTTGGAAGGTTCTCATGGCTATATTGTGATCTATTACTTGTGGTAAAAAAAAAAAAGGGTTAAGGTGCAATTTTACAACAAAGTTTTTCTGAAAAAGCACTGGGCACCATAAAGTTTATTTGGGTGCAAAAATATACATGAAGTTGTCAAAAGGGAGCATCTGGCACCATGCCATTAATGTTCGTCAGTTTACCGTTAGAGGGGCCCAAAAAGTCAGTTTTAAGGTGCATTTTTAACAACAAAGTTTGCATCAAGGGGCATTAGGCATCATGAAATTTATTTGGGTGTAAAAATATACATGAACTTTGTAAAAGGAAAAAAATAACAAAATTCTTCAACCTCCATAAACATCCATTAATTTTATTCTTTTTTGTCTCACCAAATGCTATATTTTCTCTCTGTAAATTTTCACTTCCAAGCCGATCCATCTTTCTCTCATCATAGTCAACACGCACACTCTCTCTGTCATATTGTTTTCTGAGCCTCCAAGCCTTTTATATGTATTTAAGCAAAACACATCTTTCCTTCTAGGATATGAGGTTCATTACTTGCACCCGAGTACTACCTCCAGTCCTTAATATAGGATCCAATGGACTAATTTGAGGAGATTAAAATAAATAATAAATTACTTTAAATATTATATTATTTATTTATTTGATGCAATAGCATATAGTACATGATCTCTCTAAAATATTTATATGCATCATTAAATTATATATTAGTTTACAAGCCAAAAAAATTAATTTGGAGAAAAAAAACAATAAATATAATATTTTAAAGTAATTTATTTATTTATTTTTAATCTCCTCAAATTAGTCCATTGCATCCTATATTAAGGATTGGAGGTAGTACTTGGATGCAAGCAATCAACCTCATATCCTAGAAGGGAAAGATGTGTTTTGCTTAAATACATATAAAAGGCTTGGAGGCTCAGAAAACAACATGACAGAGAGAGTGTGCGTGTTAACTATGATGAGAGAAAGATGGATTGGCTTGGAAGTGAAAATTTACAGAGAGAAAATATAGCATTTGGTAAGACCAAAAAAAATAAAATTAATGGATGTTTATGGAGGTTGAAGAATTTTGTTATTTTTTTCCTTTTACAAAGTTCATGTATACTTTTACACCCAAATAAATTTCATGGTGCCTAATGCCCCTTGATGCAAACTTTGTTGTTAAAAATGCACCTTAAAACTGACTTTTTAGGCCCCTCTAACGGTAAACTGACGGACATTAATGGCATGGTGCCAGATGCTCCCTTTTGACAACTTCATGTATATTTTTGCATCCAAATAAACTTTATGGTGCCCAGTGTTCTTTCGGAAAAACTTTGTTGTTAAAATTGCACTTAACACCCAAAAAAAAAAAAAGATCTATTACTACCATGGAGAGTTTTTGTTTTGTTTTTTTTTGGCTGGCTAAAACTACCATGGAAGTTTTGATGGTTATGATTGCCTTTCCCAATGATTACCTTGTCCTGAAAAAATTAAAATATCCACGGTACCAGTAAACGCTTTTCGTAGTGACTGATCCAAATCACTCTCGTAATGCGCGATCCCCATGCGTTTTTCTTTGCTGGCAATGCCATGTGTTAATTTTTTTTTTCTTTTGGCTAAGTTGCCATGTGTTAATTTTAATCCTTCATTAACTTGTATTGATATATAGGACTTCGTCCGTTATTATATGATCTTTTTAACTAAATTATATATCTTAAGAAAACAGTTAAAATTAGTTAAAAATAATTAATATGTAGCAAATATAATTTTTTTAAATATATCCCTATATATAAATGGTTTAGATGTGAGAGAGTAGTAGTGAGATAAATAAAAAAAAGAGAATGATTATTAAATTATTGAATCAGAGGTAAAATAGATAATAATGTATTAATATTCAGACAAATTCAAAGAGATATTATAAAAAAAAAATTTATTTAAAAAAATTGGATTTTTATTAATAGGAAGGGACGGAGTATGTTTCGTTTATGCATTCCAAGACCTCAAGAGATCATTTTGCGTCCGCCACCAATGCATTTTCACGTACGCCCTTTCTCATGACTCATTAGCATCATCGTACTGGGGATTATTATTCTTTTCATATTATTATTAAATACTTTTTTAGTCTTATTATAAGATACTTTTAATATATTTTATACAGACAAAAAAAATCTTAAAATGTATTAACTTTTTATTAATATATACACTTTAAAAAAGATAATTATCTATATATAAAAATAAAGAACAAATATAGTATATTTACGCTAAAAATTTAACAAAATGACTTATAAATAGAACAAAAAACCTTCTTCTTTATTCTATAAATAAGAGAAAAAATGTTTTTACCAATTAGATTTATAGCCTTTCAAAATTGATTTTAGGATCAAGGTGATCAGACACGATACCACTCCAATGATGCAGGCCTTGCCACGATGATAACAATTATAGTCCTTTTATTTAGGGTTTTGAAGACTCATGCTTTGTATTGGCATGGTAGTGTTTCTATAGAAATAGTATCAGTGAAGAGAGTAAATAAATGCATTCTTTGAACGGGACATCAAGAACCAAACATTTAATAATTAAATTCTACATTTGTAATCAATAAACACTTGCATCAAGATGCTTCATCATTTTTTGTGAGTAATATTCTTTTTTGGGAAATCCATCGATGGAAGGAATGCGTTATATAAATTACGATGGTAAATTGATTGATGAAATCATCATAATCCACGTGGACTATTGAAACGCTTAAACAGGTAACGGCTTTCTTTGGATTATTAATTATTAATGATGTACTCTCTTGTCCTATTCATAAATACTTCTAATATATTTTAAACACAAACTTAAAAAAACTTTAAATTTCATTAACTCTCGTTTTAAATTCAACAACTTTCAATTTATCTTTATTTAATATATACTATATTTTATATAAAAAAGTTAATATGATAATAAATAAAGAGTAAAATGTTACATACATGGAAATTAATTTCTCCCAGTGTCTTATAAATAGTACTAAAAACTCTGCCCTATAAATATGATCAGAGAGTATTTTGTGTTTTACAATGCATTTCACACTTTTTATCCAATTTTGAAATGGATTCCACACATTTTTTTAGGCCAAAATACATATAAACCCCTCAACTTTAGCTCCCTTGCATGTAGCATTCCTCACCTTTAAAAATTTAAAAATCAACCA